GTATGTATGTGATTATATAGAAAATCAAGAGCAGGCCATGCTTTTTTCCTGGCTTCTTTATGTGGCTCTGCTGGTCTGGAGTGCGAGTGTGATGATCAGTATTCTGCCTATAAGCAATGCTCAGATTTAGATACTGGCTATTGGAAATTGTGATGGTCCTCCGGGGTTGTACTCTGTGGTGTATTTTCCCTTGAGACTGACTATAAAACAGGCCACATGTTCTCAAAAATTCCTTGAACAGAGGAACTATTTGCTGCTGTTAGTTGTGCTTTAAGATTTGGTATTTTAACAATTATTTAAATAAATAGAAAATTAAATAACCAAAATGAACGAAACCACTAGATTGATAGACGTCTCACAAAGACACCTTGTGTGCAGCTACCGTGTGCCAGCTTGAGTTGGTAGTTTATCTTTTGATAGCTGAAAACTACTGATAACAGTGAAACATAACGGATTAGTTTACATACTAGTGTTAATGATTTCATTGCTGGCTTTATTTTATCACCTAGGTCATGTGGTTTATGCACAGTTGGAAATGACTGTATTTCACTGGCCAAAGCTTCAGCTGGTTTCTGTCCTAAAACTCGTTCATCTCTGATTGTAGTTAAATGCTTGCAATGCAAAATTCTGCTGTGAGTTGAGAATCACCTCTAGGATAGGAATAGTATGATAAATACCTTGTTAAAGTTAGTGCAAGAACAGTTTAAAGGTAATGTTTTTAAATAGTAAAAACATATTTACTAGATTTTTTGGGACATTTCCACCTAGCAAAAGGATTTTAATTAAAAAAAAAAACCAAACCCCAAAAGGTTGGCACAGAGTCTGGCTCAAGCCTGAATTATGAAACATGGGATTCAGTTTTCATTTTGACCGGTATTTCGTTGTTGACTTCTGTACTGTATCTGTAATGACAGACTTCTGGCTTCCTTCTTTATAGGCTCAGATTATTCCTCAGTGGGATGGTTACCTGGTACTGAATCCCTGTGGCAGTCCACAGCCATTTCGTCAAGCAGTCAAAGCAATCCTGTCAGAAGACACAGTATAGCTTCCGACAGCGGGGACACTGGGATTGGTACCTCCTGTTCTGATAGTGTGGAAGGTGAGTTGACACTGTTACGTTTTGAATGTTTCTGAGAGTAATGATCCAAAATGTTTTAAAGGTATGTTTCCCAGAGTAACGGTACTTTTCCAAAGCAGCTGAGCGCGTGCAGGTCTTTGTTTCCCTGGCTGGACCAAGTAATTATTTTGGTGAGGTTTAATTAATTTACTTCTGCATGAGTTGCGTGCATTAACTTGCTTGTCTGCCACAAAGCCGGTACTTGTGTTAGATGTTTTGATAATTGCAGTTACAAGAAGTGCCGTATTTATACAGAGAAGTAATATCCCATACCACAGAGCTTGATAAACAAAAGAAAAACTTTTGAGGGAGTTCATGAAAGGACAATGCTTTCAGGTATTTATTGTGTGTGTCAGCAGAGAAAGCTTAGTCATTGGGGCTGGGAGGAAAATGGGGCGTGTTGTCTTCTCATTTCTTTTTTTCTGGTGGGAAATATGTTTACATTTTATTGCATGGCGTTTGACATATGATCAAAGAACTTCAAGGAAAACCAACAGCATCTAAAGGTTGTTGAAGCTTGGTTTGGACTAAATCATGGTTACTCAAAGCTGATCTTATCAGTGAGGGGTTCAGCCTCTAAGTTGACAGCTTCTCCATACCATTGGCACCCTCCCTATGGGATGTCTCTCTGGAAGTAAGCCTGAATGAGAGGGAGACTAGGCAGTGGCAAGGCTTGAGGTTTTCTTCTTGCACAGCCTCGTTTCATAGTAAGATTTTGAAGACAAAGGTAACGACAGTGGGACTGTGATCTACCTTTCTCCAGTGCCTTTCTATGCCTCGTAAATTTTTCAAAAGGAGTGGGTGGAATGAGGAAGAGCAGGAAGAATGACTAGAAATGAAGTAAGGGAATGCTGAATCAATGTAAGAGACAGAAGTCTCTGTAGGGGGGCTGAGCATCCCTGAGGAGAGGCCCAAATGCCTCAGGGTTCAGTCTGTCAGGCCTCTTCGCACATGAGGAAATCCTTTCCGCCTGCTTCCTGTTGCATCTGTCAGTTGGAAAGTAACTCGGTAGGGGAGTCCTTATAGATTGCTTTGTGCTTACTTTCATATCTAAACCTTTACTGGCTTTGGCAAAATAAAGATTTTAGTCAAATACTCAAATTCTTGGATGTAAACCTGAGATAGTAAATGATTATTAATGTAGAAGCCTTTCTCTTCTCTTAAAAAAGACATATATATATATATAAAGAGAAGTAAAGGGAATAAAGCTCTCTCATGCTGTATGTATATAGATTTGCAATCAGACTCGCTGAAGTGTTGTGCAATAGTATTTTAAGATGCAGTATTTGAATTAGAAACATGCTCTCCCCTCCTCCCCTTTGAGGGCTTCCTCATTTGAGGGGTGGGAGGAAGGAGAGGAAATGAAGCAGCACCTCCTCCTCAGATGTCCTCCTGGTTAAAGAGGAGAACAGAACAACTGTTCTTGGTGAGGGGCTGGGGGGGGAGGGATGGTGCACTGATATAATCACAAGTTTAGTAGGCGTTTGTTACCAGTTAACTAACAGCTCTGTTCATTGACATGCTTTTAATAGGGCATTGTTACAAGCTGCTTTTGGGTTTTCTTAAAGTAAAATAAAGAGGGAAAAATTGTTCATGAAGTTTGTGCCTCTGACAATGCTTGGCAATGATAGTTCTACTGTATCCTTAATTTTATCGATTACCTGTCACCTTCTTTGAAAAACTTTTCAGTAGCAGAAGAAAAAATGTTTAAGAAAAAGGGGGGGGAACCTAAATGTGAAACGAAGTTAGTGGAAGGAGCATAGAACAGGTTTGGAAACTGAATGTGTACATACATTTCTACTGGAAAGTGCTGTTGCCTAGGATGCCTGGTTGTCTGCATCTCTGAAGCTGCCCCCTCCCTGCATCCACAAAAAGAGAAGAGTGTCACTGTGATCTGTGGAACTGCCAGGCCAGACTGGTAATTGCAGACTTGATGCTGGCCATCTGCGCTCAATGTGGTGCTTGGGAAGAAGCCCGTGGGGATTTTTCAGAGGGAAATTTTTTTCACAAGTCAGCAGATCATTACGGTTTTTAACAGTGCTCAGAGAATGAAATGTGCCTTTGCTCTTTCCTTTCTATTATGCCTACTAAAAATATAAAACTTAATTTCCAAATTAAGATGCTTTAATTATGGAAGTCATAGGTGAATTATTTTGTGCAGATAGGTAGTTAATAGTAAATACGCTGGTGCAGGGAGTGGAGCTCAGATGCATTTAAAAATGTTTTTATTGTTTTTTCTCACATCTTAAATGTTCCTTTAAATTAATCCTTTTGCTCATACTGCATTTCAGGAGCATTCGCTCTCTTTGAAAGTGCAGGTTTTGAAGAATAGTGCCAGGTGGCTCTTGTGTTTGGCTCAGACCTGTGTGGTTTGGAGGGGAGATGAATTTTGACAAAAGCAAGAGGAAGAGAAGTCTTTTACACTAAAATGTGTTCAGCTGGTTGTCTCTATATTATGTTGTGCAAAGGTAGGAAAATGAGGAAATGAAATGACTTGTTGAGAGTCATTATTGAAGTTGAGCAATTTTGATGTGTACTGGGGGAGGTTGAGGAGAGAAATTTAGGAACTGTAAATGTGGGATGTTTGGGTAGAATGGATCTTAAATTTCTAGTTCAGAGTGCCCTTTATTTAAGGGGTCATGTAAAAAGGCATTTTTATCTCTGCGTATACTACAGTTAATGTGGTTGGGTTGGTTGGTTGGTTTCCTGTCAGTAAGTGGTTCTGGATTCAGATCAGCTTTTGAGTGAGATAAAAATAATTACTGTATGCTGTATGGAGCAGGAGGAAAGGATTTTGATACAGTCTTTTCCAGGTTCTCTTCTTTTTAAACTTACTTCTGCTTGGAAGTCAACCCTGTTATTACTGTTTTCAACTTACCCTGTACAAGTCTGACTGAATAGTTCACTCTTGGGCATTAATTGCACCTAGTCTTCAGAAAAATGTCATGTTCTCCGTTAAGAAATACGGTGGAAGTGAAATGTAGAGCCCTATGAAACTGTTGAAAAGTTCCTGCATTGCTGGTAGAGTAGGAGGTTGTATTCAGGATGAATCGTGTGGAAGAAAGCGTTTTAGCTGGTGGCCAACAGCTGATCATCTATCGGTAAAGACTATCTGAACCTTTTTGTTCTTGTTCTGCTTCTCGCTGGCAACTCTGAAATTGCCGGATTTAACATTTCTGGCTTATGTTTATAGGGGCAAAAGGTAGCTCCCAACACCAAACAGCTAACAGTTGTGCTGTGTGTAGGTCTTTACATAGAGGTTGCCTCTTCAACCAAAAGACTGTTAATATTACTTCAGAAGTGAAGCTGAAAGAGGAAACAAGGGTAAGGGGAGGTGGGTGGCAGGAAAAAAAAGCCTCTCTTGTAGTGAAAAAGTGCAGGTATGAAATTCTGATAACTTTCAGTTACAGGATCTTGTATCTTATCTTTGTGTAACTGAGAAGTCTTTCAAATGGCAGCAGATTCTGGAAAGAATTGTAAAATGAATATTTAGAGTTTTTTTGATGTAGGAAACATGATGGCAAACTACTAAATTGTGACCTCTCTAAGTCTGTATGTAAAATGCATGGTCTAGATTAAAGTGCTTTTACAATTTAGAACATCTGTTGGGAAAAAGGCCTGAGATACTGTACAGAAATGGTCAAGGCGTTCATAAAGCACAATGTTTCCTATTCTCTATCAGCAGTAATAGCACTCGTACTTGCAGCTTTAAATAACCATTGAGACATCCATGCCAATCACCCATCAGTCTCTGCATAACCATTCTTTCAGTACCATTTACGTAAGAAACATGAAGTCTGTATTTTAAGCGTTTTTTTAGACTGTTTTTATTTGGGTTACTTAATTAGAGAATCCGGGTCTTATCAGAAATTAAATCGGCTGTAAACCTCAGCCAGAACTCTTTCCTCTGTGCACATTCTGAGTCTTGCTGTTTGTACAGGAGGGATAATAACTAGAGATTGACATGACAAGATACTGTGACTCTTGCAGTCCAAAACATTTTCCTCCCATCATATCAGCTTTCTTGCAGCGGAAAGTTCCGTATAAAGCAGATATTTCTCCCTGATTATTAAATAGGATTCTTGATTTGCCATTTCTGATTGCAAATTATTAGGCATGAAAATGTGTAGAATGTTGCTTTCCTGGAAGAGAGAGATTGGATGCAGAGGATCAGTTACTACTGTTTGACTGGGGAGTTGATGTTCTGCTAGTTTAACTTTTTTTCAAAAGTTGATTTAAGATGGATGCATAATTGTGTCTCTTTTCATAAAGAAATCTGGATAGGCGTGGTCTGTTCACATTTTAAAACGTCGTTCCGTAGCTTTGTATAAAGGTTGCCTTTGGGAGAGGAGTTTCACAAGCAGGGGTTCGAGGGGTGTTGTGGTCTAGATATGCAGCATGTTTGGTATATTGTCACTGCGTTTTGTATAGATAGGACGTCTCCGGAAGGCTTAATTAATAGAGTAAGAGCTTGTTTTAGTGAGGTCCAGGGGAGTCTCTTGTCTCTCATTTTGAAAGGAATTCTTTACCTTTCTAACAGACTGAAAAAACAAGTAGTTGTTCAGTTTAATTGTAGCATTTCTTGGTACACCAGGGAACATGGTACAGCCAGCTGCCAAGTTATTTGATTTTGCTATTTCAAGCACTCTTCTTCCGTCAGGTCCTGAGCATGGTATTCTAACACTTTTTTTTAGTTTTTTCACTGAAGGGAAAAAGAAGAGTTAATAAGTGTAGCTATCGAATATAGTGAAAGGCAGAACTGGATATCAGGAGACAAAAATCTAATTATGAGTATCTTTGGGGGTATTCTTTCGTTTAGCATGCTGCTAAATATAATGGGGATGAGAATGTGTGCAGGTCAAATACTAGTTTGCGCTATCAGTTTTGAGGTCAGGAGGGTGCAGTAGCACAAGAATCCTAGATCTTGAGCTGATGGTGTACTTTGTGCTCATTGTCTACGTGCTCAGTGAATTTTGGAAGAT